CAAAGAATCATGGACCGGTACTTCTACAGTCTCAGTGGGTTCATTGTTTAACTTCAATCAAGTTTATTTGCATCAGAGCTGAGAAAAAACTAAACTTTGTTGCAATTTTTTGTAGATAAATGCTTCATCATTGCCTAATTAGGCCCAGGCCCCTATAAGGCCCCCTAGAGTCATGAAACCAGTATCTCAAGTTATATTAATTCAGAATCGCAATGGAACTTCATGGACCGTTTCCGATGCAGCTGTAGTGGTGATCTCGTCAATATTCCAAAGGCGAAAACCTTCATTACGATGAAAGTCGTTTACGATTGAACATAGCTACGCCTCCTTACTCTTTTGACTATATTCCTGATTGAAAAAGCTTGATTCTCCTCTGTTTTCTTTTTCTTTGTAATTAATACCACGCTTTTTGCGACCATGTGCAATAAATGTCACATTCCACGAACCGCGTCGCGACCGCACGCGTCGCACACCCGAAGTTTAGGAGTTGACTCTTTTGTCTGTACCCGTAATCACGTGTGGACCCCAAAAAAGAAAAGCAGACACATTCACAAATCATAGTTTACTATCGACTAGCTATAGTTCGATATATTTACAATGCCCGTCAATCAATAAATCAATAAGTTGTAAGGACAGAACAATCGATCGATTCATAGTATGTTTTCAAACGTACACGATGACAACGACAATGAAAAAAAAATCAAATCACCCGGAATATATCAGTAAAGAGTCGGTTGGTTGGGGGAGATCCCATAAGCTGTTATCTGGTAAGCTCAGAAATGAAGGATAGGAGAATTGTAAACATAATTGTCAACATTGACTAAATTTCAATGATAATGGTAATAATAATAGATAATAATTGCAGAATAATACATATTATACTCGTTAATGTGTACTACACAGTAGTCGAGTAGCAAATAATCAATAATCGATCGACATTGATTTATTTCTAACGTTACATCAAAGACTCCACTTGAGTGTCGGCAGCGTTTTTATTGATTGCGCCAAGCCGTTTTAAATTCACAAATTTGATTGATTTGTTAGTGACGTAGATGCAAAACATCAGAAGAGCGGCGTAGAGCAGTATTGGCAGAACGACGTAGAGGAGTGGGTTCGCGAAAAGCCAAAAATCAGGATGATTTGCTTGGAAGTTCTGCACCAACAGCATATATGTCGTTAGGTCCGCATAGCTGCCGAGGGATATCTGAAAAAAAAAGAAATAAAAAGGAGTAGAATAGAAAAGGTAGAATGAATATAAAGTCAGAGCCAAAAATTCTTTCACAATCACAGGTGGGATACCAATTCAGCTAATTTATTTTTCGTTTAGACTACAGTAACCACCATACCCTGTAACCGTAACCAGTTGGGATAAGTGGAAGCCCGACCAACAAGTCCAGGTGATTAATTGATACCGGACTCATCTTGGAGGACAAAAGCGTTGACTTGCACATCGGCTGATAACCGCAAGCCACTGTACATATAGGCCACATAACGAACCAGTGAACCCGATATAATTGGCCTCAACTTATGTGCGACGTCCACTTGAACACTCGTCGTAGGAGCACTTGGGAAGGAACACCTGCTAACCCATGTCCATGTGCCTCTCTTTTTATAATATCAAACGAATTAGGAAAACCTACTTATGAGAAAAAATCGCCAGAAAGGACACCTTTGAATAAGTGTCAACAAATACAGTACATAAAGGTAACAAAGTAGTAAATATGATAGCCTTTTCAGCGATAATATTCACCTGTGAAAGCATGAACGGTACAAGAAGAGTGGCATTATTAGTGTAATTGCCAGCCAAAGCCAAAAAACATGGCACCAGTTGAACTATCCGACATGCTGTCAGAATGATGAATCGCGGTTCCCGAAACCATTCGGGATCAGCTGTTGCCAGAATCAGACCTGAATACGGTCGAATATCAATGCCCAAATAATCTAAAATCAAAACATGGTGCACAGAATACAGTAAGATTCTAAAAAGGTTCGTCAAAAATGGTTCCGTGATATATCAAGAAAGAAAAGAGGAAAAGAAAAGTCCAAAAAAGGAGTTCAAGAGGTATGAACTTGAAAATTTTCGAATTAAAAAGTTCCTTGAAGGTTCAAAATTTCAAGATAGTAAAGCTTTCCTGAATATCTCAGACTGTAATACTAACCAACGCTGATTTCCTGTATCAAAGCGATGATGATCATATTCGAGAGATACTTGGCGGAGACACCACCATGGCAGAAGCGATAATCGGCGGTAGAATCCGACTGAAATTAATCAGTTACAA